GAAATAGATCAGTGTTTATGAAGTGACATTTTCAATGAATTAAAAAAACAATATCATTTGAAAAATCCTTATCATTAGAAGGATAAAATATATTCGGATAAAACGTGGATTTGATTTAAATGTATAAGAAGCGAATTACAAATTATATAAAAATAAAAAGTGAGACAGATAACTATGCCAATATATATGAATAAATACTGAAGCTAAATAAATAGATGTATAAGGGTATCACATATAAATTAGTGATAAGAAATTTAAATATCTCCGACAGATGTCTATCAAACAAGCTGAAATTTTTACACGTGATAGAGGCTTGCGAATATTTTCTTTCTCTCGAATATTGAGAGCATAATGCGTTGATGCGTCACCTTGTATCAGAAAAAATGAGTCATTATATGATAAATCATGAAACACAGGAGAGAAAGAATCATTAGGCATTTTAGGATAATTTCGATTTGCATTGAACACTACCATCTAATATTTGCATTCTCTTTACTTTGTTATGACGATTAATCTAATCATTTGGTTAAAATGTGGTTTCATAAAACCAAATGGCACAATTGACAAGATTTACCTCATTTTCAATCCGTGAGAGAAATATTTAATTAAGTTCATGAATCAATCTTGAAATGTATGATTTGAAGACCACAAGCTTATAAAAGTATCGAATCGAGCTTCTTAAGATGTTCATCCATGAACTCATACAACGACTTGATACTTGTAAATGTTTTGTTAAAATAAAGGATTAACTTCATCTTTTGTGGTTTGACTGATAATTACGTAATATTTGTTAGCTAGATGAAATACTTTCTAGTATCGAGCTATTCTGCTCAAATTTGTTAATTGAGTCGTTTATTATTGATCAAGAATGATGGTTGATCTCCATTTTCTTGAAACAGTCTTTGAACTTGAATCATATATTCAAGCTTATGCATTTGTTTCATGATCGATATTCTTTCATTTCAAATAAGTGGACGACGAACTATATCTTATGTTTAATTTAAAGGTGAATATGTAGTTCAGAAACCGTGTAATGGTGACTGTTTGTTAGAATAAAGACGAATCGATTTATACGCGTTGAGATATAACAGCAGAAAAATATACGATGAGTAAAAACCTGAAATTCCTTTTTATTCTATGCACAACTGGACAATATCGGAAAGAAAAATGATGTGTTTTGTTGCGAGAAAGAACTTTATATACGATGCTATTGAAAGGAAAAGCATCACTGAAATGTATGAAGTTCTCACTTGACGATGCGAATTTCGCTTTTTTTCTCGCTGTTGCCAATACACTTACTGCTGGTCCAAATCGTTATGTTATTATTAAGGACAAATGATCCCATTACGGTTGTGTCATTATTTTTTAATGAGTTTTTTCTAGTATAATAGGGAATATACGTCTGTAGGTGACATTAAATCTATCCGCATAAAGAGAAAAAGAATAATTTGCTTTCGATAATAACACATTAGATTATTCGATGTTGTTCAAGTATCTTTCAAAACAAACTGCTTCCAATTTCTTAGATATCGTGAATGAAAAGAAAAATCTATTCTTTTCTATAACTTCTTGATATGTGTACAAAAATCACAATAGCAGCAGTTATTTATCAAAACTTATTCAAAGCAACACGATGAGAAATATCAAGTTAGTGATGTATGTTATATTCATTGTGGTATTTTTGGCATCGTATTGCAATGTAAGCGGAAAGAAAGATTCCACCCAACCTGATAAGAAACGTAATTGTATTCCTATTGGTGATCTGTGTAACGATGTTTCTGAGTGTTGCAATAATATAATGATTCCGATGTTGGTCATTGTCTTCATTGTCGTAATAGCTGGCCTTTTGCTCGTCAGTACCGTTGTGATTGCAGTTCTAGTGGGGCTGGTGCTACTACTGATGATGGTTTTGATCGTCATCGTAATCGTTGTCGTGTTAGTATTGCTCGTCCTAATAGTTGGTTTGCTCGTGGTAAAAATATTCATCCCAAAAAAAGACAAAGATGTTCAGTAAGTACATTGTTTCAATTGTAACTGCTCGCCAGAACGTTTTGATGTTTCTTCTACGATTTTTATACTTAGTTTTAGTTTTATTTGATTCTATATTTATTGATCTCGTCTGACTTTTTTCTTCGTAGGTAATATTAAACAAAAGCAACTCAATGCTAAAAATCAAACAAGGCTATCAGTGATTATCAATGTCAGTGAATACGATTGACTTTCCAGTATTCTTCTTTCAAACTTTCATCCAGCTGTTTTTCCTCATCTTTTCTATCTTTTCACTAATTTCAATTCTAAAAAAAAATACACATTGGAAAATATGGTCCATGCATTAGACGAGCTTTGAAGTATATAAGATATTTGGATCTTCTGTTGATGTAAGAATCTTTTTTAATGTCGTTGGAACAATTTATCAGTCTATTTAAATATTGTTACTTATACGCTTTCCATGAATATCTATAAATAGAAACTGTTGAATTCTCTTTTTTCTCGACGATAATTTCTGTGTAATTCATTTTATTTGCTTTCAATATTTTGCTTTAAAAATAAATTAAGTCAAAGTTATGCGTAACTTCATTTACTAAAACCATGCTCGGTTAAGTCTTGTTCTAGAATGAGCCAATTTTCTTCCCGTTTACCGTATAAAACAGCGTCGCAGTGAGAAATTGGTTCAAAAACTTTTAAAACTAAACCACGACCACCTGAATTATCATTGTTTACTAGTGCTTTGTATTCAATATCAATTTTATATTGTTGATTCCATGCTTCAACTTTAGTATGAATAGAATATATTTTACTATCGACAATTTGCCATTCTAGTAGTTTCAAATGATATCGATCTCCACATAGAGTTCCAGTTTCAATTCGTTGACCTTTCCAACCAATAAATATATATCAAATGTAATCATCTTCGATTGTAGGTATATGATAGCTACCTAAAACCAATGAAAATTCCTTATCAACATGATGAAACTGTGCCCAAACCCAATTAAAAAGATTTCTAGGTCAAGCTCCATAATTATGATCATGATAAGCAGTAGTATTAATAGAATTCTTTTTGTTATTATATTGAATAAATCCAGATACGTAAGCACTTGGCATATAGGCTATCCAATCTAACTCTAACAATAGAGATATTCCTTCTTTTTGTCTGCAGGCATAAGATTTTTGTTGAAATGTTATTCACCAACGTAATTGACCCTCTCTTTTTAGATATAGAGCAAAGTTTCGTTGTTTTCTTCATCTTAGAGTGTACTCATAAAGTGAACCATAGACTTCTGATTGCTATTATCGTGGGAATTTACTTTCTCCTTTTGATCGGCGTGTCAATAGAAATTCTAAGCATATACTGCATTGTTGATCGATGCTTTTTTATTGTGTAAATATATCCATATCTTAAGTTCCATGTTGAAAGTTCAATATTTACAAGGAAAAATAATATGAAAATCAATTTATCTGTTCAATCATATTTCTGTCCGTATTTCTAAAAATGAAAACTTTCTATTTTGCTTAGCTGGAGAGTGTGGAATGGTGAGGGTGTTCCTTTCCACTTTCAGGACACCCACACCCTATTCCTTATTAATGAGAGTTATATTTCATATATG